GCATCTGAAACTACTCACCTGTGGCTCAAAGGGAGTGTTTTTGATTGTGATGAAACTGGAGATTATTTTGCTGAAAGAACCGCAAGCAAGTGAAGGGTAGAAGCTCCGCAGCCCGTGGGAGCAGGAGATGCGGGAAAGGGGCAAGATGGTGGAGCCCGCGAGGCTCCCCGCGCCGGCGGTGGGGGGTCCCCACCTTCCACACAGCTCACCTGCCCCACAGCCCACGAGGCAGCTCCACCTCGTTCACAAAGTGTTTTCTGGGCAGAGCTCTGGAGACACTGACTTGAGACCCTCAGTATATGTAGGCCCCGCTGGTGAATGGGAAAGAAGGGCGTGTGTACGTGTGCGCAGGAGGGAGAAGACCTGCGGGTGGTAAAGTCTTTCACACTGAAGGACAAGGTGAAGATAAATGGACTGACAGCAGCAGTGAGTGGAAGACCAGCCAGGTTACAAGGTCCTCTTTTTATTTCTTGTAAAATTATGGTGCATGCGCTCGCTCTCTCTCTCTCTATATACACACACATATATGTATATGTATAGAATGTGACACTTGCCATTTTCACCATTTTAAAGTGTGCAATTCAGTGACAGTACACCCATAACCATCACTATTATCTAGTTCTAGAACTTTTTCATTACCTCAAAATGAAGTCCCCTACCCATTAAGAAGTGGCTCCCCATTTCCCCAATCCCTGGCTTTCTGTATCAATGTATTTGCTTATTCTGTACATTTTAGATAAACGGAATCATATAATATGTGATCTTTTGTGTCTGGCTTCTTTCATTTAGCATAGTATTTCGAAGTTCATGTTGTAGTGTGTCAGTACTCCCTTTTTGTGGCTGTATAACATTCCATTGTGTGGATATATGCCATATCAAGTTTATCCATTCATCCACTGATGGCTATCTATCTAAATTGTTTCTATCATTTGGCTATTGTGAATAGTGTTACTATGAATATTTGCATGCAAGTTTTTGTTTCAATACCTATTTTTGATTTGGGGGTATACATCTTAGGAAGAAAATTGCTGGGTTATATGATAATTCTATGTTTAATTTATTGAGGAACCACTCCCCCCTTTTTATAGATTTTCAGACTCATGGGGCTGGAAAGAATGTCAAAAATGACTTAGAACAATGTTCTTCAGACTTTTGGATTTCGCACATTAGTAAAATTACCATCACTACCGCCCTCTCCCCACAAAGTAGTAGGGCCTTCCATCAGAATCAAGGCCAACCCTATAAAATGAATATATTTAGTGTCAGGTAAACTCATTGCCTTGTACTTGTTTTTCTCATCTCACCTCCAGTATTGGGTCATTTGGAAACCATGTGCCTGGTCCATTCCTCATCCAAAGTCTGAATTCCCTTCTCCAGCTGTCCTTGGCTCAACCAGTTTTTGGGGGCCCATCTGGAGGATGCTCCCCCTCCCAGGTAGCCCTGGTCCCTGTAATGTTCTTTCTCATGGAGAGCTGGCCCTGCTCCCGCGGTCTCCCCAGTATCTCTGCTCTACCCTCTGGGGCCCCACAGACCTCACTGGCCTCATTCACCCTGCTTCAGGACTGGGACTTACACTACCTTCTGCTTTCCAAATGTTCTATAGGGCTGAGCACACTGACTGTAAGATCCTAATACCAGGAAGGGTGGAGATGAGGCATTCTCCTGACTTACAAGAGTTCTTAAAAGAAATAAAGATAATCTCTTAAGCTATTTATAGTAAAGTGCCTCCCCACCTCAAAAAAAAAAAAAGTGAACAAGCCATTCAGGCTAACGAAGTTTTGTTTGCTTTTTTGTTGGCTGAATTTGTAGCAATTCAACATTTCTCTCTGTGCTGGGTGACAGCAAAGACACCATGGAGAAAAGGTGGACTCTTCATGAGAGTGAGAGATGAGACCTGCATTCAAACTGTCTCTTTCTAACTGTGTGACCTTGGTGAGGTTTGTTAATATCTGCATGCCAGTCACTGAATCGGTAGTAAGGGAATTTTAAGGCTGCCTCACAGGGTTATCATGAAGGAGGCAAGTCCACTTACAGAAGTGCCCGGCACACCACAGGCACTTGCTCCGTAAGTTATCAGTGGAAGAAATCTGAGCAGCATTTTATGAGCAAAATCAGAGGAGACAAATTCATCATTATTTAATATACATTTGGCAAATAAAAATCCTTCAAAGAACCAAGTCCCTGTATTAAAATAATAAAATCGTGTGGTGGTAAGGAATATGGAACAGTCTGCAGGGCTGGAACAAAATGTCATCCTGGTCTCTTACCAAAGAAAACAGTGGCCCTGCTGCAGCCTTAGGGTGAGGCCGAACCTTACCCCAGCTACCTGGAGGGTGGAGACAAGGTTTCCCTGAAGAGGACAGCCATCCCATGTCTGTGAGCCCTAGGGAGGGATCTCCAACAGAAACTGGGAACCTGGGAGGGATCTTACAATGGGCAGGAGCCCTGAGGAAGGAGCCCTGGGTGGCAGGGACATGTGGTCTCTGCTTTGGGAGAAGAGGGACAAGTGAACTGGGCTTCTGCTCTCTCCCACTACCCGAGACTCTTTGTGTTTATTTCCCTTCCCTCATCCCTGAGCTTTAGTGAATCATTGTACAGAGATTGGTTTCTCAGCTGAGGAGCTGAGATTTAAGGCAGGGTCTAATCCCCTCTTAGGCTGCATATTATGGAGCAGAGTCCCCTCAGGCCAGTAAGAGCCTGGCAAGCTCTCCAGAACTATACCAGGAGACAAGCTCCAGCTCCTCCCCCCCC